TTTCTTGAAGTATCATTTCTGCCCTTTTGGAAAATAACACCAGATGCTTGGATGCAAGGACTAGCAGATGTCCTTGTCCGCGCAAGTTTGCTCTATCTGCTCATTGCCTATTCCTTGTTCTGACAGTGTGTCTTAAACCTTTGTTTCTTCATAAATTCTTATTATCAACTCTTATCAGCTACTGAAATAAAAATAGAAGGGGGGGGGGAATTTCAATGGTGCGGTTACAAGGCTGGTATCTTAGGTCGTCTCTGCTGCATACCGTATCCTTTCCAATTTATTATTTATGTATTTATTGTTCACTCATTTGGTGTTACATAGACAGATACTGATTACATAATTAAATAAGCACGACATCATCCCTGTGTTTCTCATTCCCTTTATCCAACTACTTCTCTTCCACTGTCTTGTTTCTTCTCTTCCTTCCTCCATCTTCTTCCTCATATTGAGTCTGGAACACAGCACAGGGAAGGAAGTATTCAGAAAGAGCAGTACATAATGAAACAGGACAAATTCCTTGTGCAGTAAAGTGTATGATGGTATATAAAATGCAACAAAATGTAATAATATGATTCTCCTTCAGTGCTTTGGATTTTGACATCAATGAGAATCGCATTTATTGGACAGATGTAAAAGTGAAAGCTATAAGTCGTGCATTTATGAACGGTTCAGATATGCAGAAGATCGTTGAATTTGGCTTGGATTCACCAGAAGGTATGCAGATGTTTTTGCTATTGTTTAAAAAAAAAATTATTTTCTGTTTATGTAATAATATCAGAGTAAATTTCTTTCTTGTATATGAAGCTTCGGGAAGTCATTGACATCATTGAATACTACGATAGTAGTAGCAATAGTAGCGACAGTAGTAGCACTAGGAAAAATGTTGATTATATTTCTAATTTGTAGACAATGTGTTTAATGTATAATATAATCTCACAGATTTTTGTGAAGCTTAGCCCATGCATAAGTTCCACATAATGGTATATTTGTCCTTCCGTTCTATATCACTCATTAAAGAAGAAATACACCTCAAAATTACATGCCTGTAGCTTTGGTTTATTGCTGTTTGGTCCTTTAGTTCTGCATAAAATAAAGATTTATAGTCATTTTCATGAGATCCAAATTTCAATTATGGTTGGGTGTAACAGGTCTAAATACCAAAATGAGTAGGTTGTATGTAAATGGTATGTAACACTGCTGTATTTGAGTTGGAACAAGGGAAATTTAATTGTAAGAGACCTCATATCATAGACCCTGAATAGGAATTTCACTATATTTCTATGCTGTAAATGTGCACAGGTATGGCTGTGGATTGGGTAGCTCATAATATCTACTGGACTGATACGGGTAGCAAGAGAATTGAAGTTGCTGGATTAGATGGACGCTCTCGGAAAGTGCTAATATGGAAAGACATAGATGAACCTCGCAGTTTGGCAATGGATCCAAGAGAAGGGTGAGTCTTGGTTCTGTAGTTCTTTACATTTTTGATGAAGTTGAAGTTTTTGTTTCCAGAATACATTATTTAAGTGGATAATATTAAAATGGATCTTAAAGAAATAGGGTTCAAGAATGTGAACTGGATTTATTTGGCTCAGGATATGTCCCAGTGGCAGACTGATGTGAAGGTGGTATTGAATTGTCTGGTTTAATAAAAGGTGTGAAGTTTACTGAGTAGCTGAGAAACTGTTACCTTCTCAAGATGGATTCTGCCCCATGGAGTTAGTAAACCTGTTAAAGTACATTGTATTGTGTAATATATTGCAGATACATGTATTGGAGCGATTGGGGTTCTCAAGCTTGTATCTCGAGGGCCGCTATGGATGGCACACGCCGTACCGTTATAGTAGCAAAGGTGGGACGTGCCAATGGTTTGACAATAGACTATGTTCAGCATCGCCTCTACTGGACAGAACTGGGACAGCGTGTGATAGAGAGCTCTGACCTGACTGGAAAGGAGAGAGCTGTAGTTATTAGTGAGAACTTAGAGAAGCCATTTGGGTTAACTCAGTGCTTGGTAAGATCATCAGAATTGTAAGAAACCCTGTATATCATATTTTGGTTTATGATGCCTTATAGTCTTATGGGTGGTTATTAGTGGTTTCAACAAATCATCTGCTTCCATCTTCTATGTAGAAGACCACATTTCAAATTTCCACAATCATGAAAACCTGAGTCTCAGGTTTAAACTTTTGATTGTGGATTTAAATTAATTATGTAGGATTTTTTAAGTCTAAAATTGTCCAGATTCAATCAAGAAAGAAAATATTTTGTTTCAATTTTAACACTGATTTTTCAGTCTCAGATTTCAAGAATTATCATATGAAGTAAACTACTTGATCCATCAGAATCATAATAGTAACATCAGTATGAATCAGCATGTCATAATTTGTCTCTTTCTTGTTCTTCCCATGATGAAAAAGGGCTTGGCCCATCAATCTTTTAATACAATTGTGAACATTTTTCTTTGAAGCAGGATCTGATCTGAAAAAGTGTAACTAGGGAAGTATTACAAAGTGGTTACTATTATAAACATTGATTACAGTGAACATTACAGAACATTCTCATCTCAGGCCTCAAAATTTGTCCCAAGTCTCGTGTCGATCTTTTCTCGGACTGAAAAAGTTACACATGCTTATAATCATGTAATTACACCTGTTGATTTGTGTTGTATTCAGATGAACTTGTAGTATTGCAGAAATCTGTAATTTGGTGAGGGGGCAGATGTATTACAATTTTACTCTTTAAATTTGATTAAGATTAGCAGCTCATTATAAATAAGAGTCACAATAGAATTAAATTTATGGTCAACCCCTGAGTGAAAAAAAGTATTTTTCTTTTGAAGATTATGGTTTTCTAGATTGTCATATCTTGTGGTTCGGTAAGTAGAACCTCTCATCTCCATCTTATACTCTTAAGCTGGTGGCAGCAGTTTCCTTCAAGATATCGGTACATATCACATCTCAGAGGAACACCTTCAGAACATCAAACATTTTGTATTTTAAGATCTAAAAGTCTGTGACGATGGTATATTATTACAAATATTGTGTTTCTGGACATTATCCATCATCCTGTTTGTGTTTTGAAATATAAACAGGGCGGTGTTTTTAGATAAAGACAGGATGATGGATAATGTCCAGAAACATAATATTTGTATAATGTATTTTTCTTGTGATTCTTTTTATTTTTCTACATAATTGCACTACCCAAGAACCAAATTTCTTACTCCTGGCACACTGCTTCCTCATCCATTATGTCTCTCTTCCTTCCCCCCCCCACCCTCTCATTTTTGTGTTGACATATTTTGATTAAAGTTGTATTTGATCTTTTTGTTAAAGAGGAATTGTAGTGGACTAACATTGACAGAAATGAAATTCACTTTACTGCGTTCATTGTTAACCTCTGATGCCAAATTTCATTAAAAAAATACACTGAATAGCATTAGGTGTGAAATATCAGGACAGCAGACCTATGTTCATTGAACTTTATTGACATAGATATCCCAAACCTCCCCAGATTGTTCGATATGCTATTTAAAGACCTTCTGGTACATTCAATGTGAACTTTCAGGAACATGATGATGGACCATCACGTTCCCTAAATGCTGAAATTATCTTCATTAACTGAGTAATTATAAACTTTTCAACATAAGTCTTTGCCATGGAGTTAAAAGTAATTGCAAAATTATTTACAGGATTACATCTACTGGGCAGACTGGAAAACTGGCATCATTGAGTGAGCCAACAAGACAAATGGTTCAAATAGAACCATCATTCACAGCAAGCTGGAATTCATCACAGATATTCTTGTTTTTCACACTTCACGACAGTCAGCTTGGAATCAGTGTGCTGTAGGGAACGGCGGGTGTTCACATCTCTGCTTAGCATTGCCTCCATTAGCAAGCAGCAGGCAGTCCAATACACATTACTGTGGCTGCCCCACTCATTACACGCTTGGAGATGGTAACAAGACGTGTATAGGCAAGTTGATAAACTGTGCAACCTAGCGTATTTCCATAACACATCCAATTATTCTCTTAAATTTGAATTTCATTTGATAAAATTATTAATTGGTACTTTTTCAGTGACAGTGGGTATGAATGTACAATAAAACTAGAAAATGTCTGTGGAAGGAGATGAAATTTACTCCTAGAAATATTACAGTGAATTTAATGTTCAGTCCTTTTGAATTTAATATTAATCCCAGTAATTATCACTTGAAAGAAGTGATTTCTTGCATCTGTGGCTATGAGCCAAAATAAATAATGTTGTCCCTGTGCTGAATTAATTACTGTGCCATGAGAGTGCCTGGAGGACTTGAGGTATATCCCCACACATTCTTAACCTCAGCATTGGGTGAAGATGAATATTCAACTTCATGCTGTGGCTGCTTTACTGTTTGTTATCTATTGGACAGGTGACTGAATGTGCTTCTGAGCCAGACTGCATGCTGCAGAGAAGATAAATCCTGTGCTGGTGATCAAACCTTGATTTCTCAGTTGTGCAGCCTATAGTGTAATCGCTATATTGACTGAGCTGTCCTGGCTCTGTTACTTGTACAAGCCATCTACTATATATTTTCTCTCATGGCCTGTCAACCATGTCCTTCATCTTTCCAGTGGTTGTTCACTGACTATTAACATTTTTTTTATCATGTCACATAAATTATAATGCTCAGTGCCTAACACAGGTCATATCAGTGTTTACTTGTTAATGTTCATTTGGTATATAGAAGGGTAAATATTTTGGTCAGGGTATAAATACAAACATTGTCTCTGTCTTTCACATATGTATATTTGTTTAACAGGACCAAGATCTTTCCTACTGTTTGGTCAGAAGAATTCGCTGAGTCGCTTACTTCCCGACACTGATGACTGTCCTGATGTAGTCCTTCCCATCCATAGTGTGAAGAACATTAAGGCTGTTGAATTTGATCCTGTTTCACAGTATATTTATTGGGTGAGAGTCTATTTATATGGCTGTACAGTTCATTTTATGTATGAGGTATTGCCATCAGGCAGATTCAAAACAGATATTTCTTTTGCTCTCCTGTTATAATAGAAATAGATCATAAGTAAATGCTGTTCTTATTTCAGTAGAAACATATAAGTGAATGTTACATGAAGATTATAAGTTGTTTATAGATATTTAAAAATTAAACAACTGTAACAGTCTTAAATGAGGCCGATGATGATGTGTTTGGGAATGGAGATATAGCTGCATAGATTATTAACCTTGACACTAGATGGATGTTAGTAGTCTGCTTCATGCTCCAGCTTCATCCAGTACCCATTTTATAGGCAGCTGGAAGGACTTCACAGCTGGTCTGGACATAGTGGCAAAGAGAAAAATCTCTACCTCCACCAGGTGTCGAACCCTTATTTTTTAGTCTTCCAGCCTTTGGCATTGTCACTACACTGAATGAGCTATCCCAGCTTGGAGGAGAAGAAGCTAAGGAAATGTTTCTTATCATTCAGTTAG